CTGATACCTCATGAAATTTCAAATTTTCACCTGATTGGACATTTTAAAGCTGTTTGAAGCCATGCACTTGTATTTGGTCATGGCTATAGACTGCTTTCTGTGGCCATATAAGGCAAAAATTGCCACTCTTCTCTGCTCCCTTAGAGCAAACTCGCCTCACTATGGAGGCAGATGGATGAAAAATTCGAATGAAAGAGCTGTGATCTGATATTACCAGGTCCCTTCCCTTCCTCCCAGAACTGTGCACCACATCTGCAATCAAGCATGCAGATCTCGGATTGGCCTCTTCAACCATGTCCAGACTTACCAATGACTCTTTTAGTTATGGTAAGACTGTGCTCCTCATGTTGACAAGCTGCTGCCACCACCACTGATTTTTCTGGGATAATGCTATGGAAATGTATAGCTATGCTGATAGAATTGTTGTAAGAGAACTGGGAATAAAACTCATGGTTTGCAAAGTGAGACATTTCAGCAGAAAGGGGGATGTTTGACAATATTCAGCAAATAACACCTACATTATTTTTAATGGTTGTATCTTTTTATAATACGTATATACAATTTATACGTATACGTATACACAGATTCTTCCTTTATATAAATGTCATGTTTCTTGCTATGCACATACAATATATTATATGTTAAACTCTTCTCTTAATAAAGCCTCTAAAATAAATTTATCTTTATTTCAATCAACACAATGACCTAATTTCCTATAGATCAGGGCACTGTGTAAAATAAGGCATGCAATAAAATTAAACAGCAAGAAATGTAAATGTAAACTAATTCCTCTAAGCTTTCTCCTGCAGCTTTTGTTACCTTGAAATCAGTGAGACTACCCAAATGACATAAGGCTGGAGTATAACAACATAAATATTCAACAGATAAACTAATCTTAAAGGCTATTTATTTATCTTTTGCAATATAATTAATGTCATCTCAGAAAGATTTCTGAATTTCTGACAGTTAGAGTCTGACAGAGCAGACTTGGAAACACTAGAGACTTTACAAACTGATATTGTCACCATGACCTCTTGGTAAATTGGATCACACGTTCTGCAGCAAAGACAAGAAAAGCTGAATAAATTCTGTTAGCCCCACAATAGACTCATCCACATCTTTCAAAAATCAAAATACAGGATGTAAAAGGCTTTGAAAAGTGCTTTCAAAAGAGACGCTACTATTCACTAGCATCTCACTCAAAGGGACTTTGGGTTTCCTGTGATTTCTTCTTTTTTGTTATTTTTTTGATGCTGCAGAATGCTAATAGGCAAGTATTAAATCTATTTTCTAGTTTAAAGTACTTATGTTTGCTATTTCCTCATTTCATTCTTTATTAAATTCAAATATGTAATTCCTATTAAAATGTAAATGAAGTATGGAATTCACCTGTGATGGAGAGAATTCATCATGACGAGGGACACATATTACACATAAACTGGTTTAAGTGATCAGAAACTGGTTAAAACCTGCAACACAAGTGCAGTGCACAAAAAACAGTTTCAAAATAGCTGAAACTAGTTTAAGGTAAACATGGTTGAATGTAGTATCAGACTTAATTGATTTGGGTCAAACCGGTTTATGCAATGCCTGTCCCAGACCCCTTCCTGGTTTACGTTAAACCAGAGTCCCCCCAGCATTCCAGATGCTTTGCAGCCCTGGGTTGGGCTGGGCTGTGCTCTCTGCTCCAGAGAACAGAGCTAGCCCTGCCCCTCTGCTGTCTAGAAAGAATTCTGGTGGAGACTGCAGGCAGAGCAGGGTCTGTCTGGCTTCCCCCTGCTCCCCCCGCCCTGCCTTGCTGCTCACTGCTCAAGCAGCCCCCCTCCCCCTTCCTCCCATCTACCACAGCACAGATACCAGTCTCATGGACCCTAGGCATGTGGTATTCTAGCTAATGCTGAGAGGTGTCTCTGTGTGTGTGTTTTCAATTTTACTGGGACAGACGAACAGAACAGTGTCTGCTTAGGGCTTTTTGGAGCTAATCAACAGGTCAGCTGGTAATATCCTTCCATTCCTTCCTTGGAAAAAGATATTTTTTATGAAGATCTTGAACTAATGAGATGGGCCTATGGGTTGATAAACACTGTATTATTAGTCCCCTGCAGGTTCCCTCACCTGTCAGGTTTGCAGACAGTATGAAGAAGCAGGGAGAGGGAGATTGAAAAGCTCAGTATCAGTAACAGATGCATGCACTGCAGACCCCACCTGTGCCTCAGAGTGCTAGCTGGGGACTGGGGTCTGGCAACACTCCCACCACTTGAACAGCGAGCAGAGTAAAGCCTGGGACTGTGCCAGCAGGGTGGGTGTTTAAACCCCTCCTTAACCAGAGCATCCTGTTGGGGCCTGGCAGTCTCCCTGCCACTCCCCTCCCCCAGCTCAGCACTGTAGAAGGGAAGGGAGGGCTACTCTAGTGCACCCTGGCTTCTAGCCTGAGCTACTGCAGGCATGTGCCTGCATTTCTTCAGTCTAGAGGGAATGTCTCCACGGTTGCAAACTGATTCCATTTAGGCAGGTTAGACTAACCTGAAAAGATTGAATCAATTCAGGCTCAGGCTTTTTGAAAGTCTGTCCGCAGCCCATGTGATTTAGTGAAATGGGAAAAGGAAATTGAAACATACGTTCAAACTTTAATCAACCTTTTTCTCTTATTCTAATATAAAGCTTATTCCATTTATGCCAAAGCAAGTTAAGAGGTAAAAAGACTTCTGTCCTCTTCAATTAAATTGATTTTTTTTAGACCCCTACTATTTGTTATTCTTTTTCTCAAATGTGGCCAACAGTCTAAAGTAGTCTGATTAGTTTTTTTTTTCTAGTATGTGTATAATATCTACTCATTAATTCATCAGAGATTTAAGACTGGTGTTCCACAGACTATTATAAATGTGTTAAAATCAGTTTTAGGGTTCTTGAATATATTTGCTATGTGCAGGTTTGACTAGCAGCTGGTATCTCCTGGGAATGACCATACTAGGTATTAAGTTCCCCCCAAAAAACCCACCTGTATCAGATAAAATCAGCTGTATCAATTTCGCTTTTATTGATGAAGTTGAATGTTGTATTTTGACAATCCCTTGGTAAAGGCAGAAGAACTACACTAAGATAACGCTAAACATTAACAACCGTACCTGTGTATTCCAGGCAGAGAACAGCATGTATTGCATCCCTATTACTGCATCTTTATGGCTGGCATGTGAAAGTAAAGGAAGAATAACTGCTTCCTAGTCCTTTCTATGTTTCAGCAATTCCTAGAAACCTCACTCCTCTCTACCCCATTTCCCATTCCTTGTTTTTTTTAAATTCAAAATCCTTCTTCTGAGCTATAACAGATAATGTTGCCCCCTCTCTCCAAACAAGCTTCTCTGTTTTTAAGCTCTCCCATACCTCCTCCTATTTCTTATGCTCTTCTAATCACCTCCATCTCTGTTTTGCACCATCTATTATGTAGCATCCTCTACATGGATCATTCTTCCTGTCCTTGTCCATTAAATATGCCCTCTCTTCTTTTTCAAACATATTTAAAAACCCATCATTTCAGCACATCTTTGCTCTCGGTGCTAATGGCCCTCAGAGTAAATTTTTATTTTCCTGAAATGTTATCTTTTCTTATATTTATGTAAGCTTTTGGCAGGAGCTTAAGTGCATTATCTATGTTCTGTGAAGTGCCATGGAAATTCACAATGCTTTGACAAGAGGGGCAAGACTGAAAAATGAAAACACTTCTGACTTCTACACAAGGCCCCACAGTGCAGAGCCTCAGCTGGTTCTAATTGTCAGATTAGACATTGAAGTCAGATAAGGAAAATTATGAAAATTAACACCAGGATAAGATCTGCCACCAGGTCAAATCCAAAGGGTATGGTATCCAAACACTCTAGGAAAGAGATGACATTCTATGTTAGTTTCAGGAAAAAAAGATATTTGTTGGATAAGTATAACATAGGTTACCCTACTAATGTAATAATCAGATTCTGAACACTTATGGGCATGATTTTCAAAGCACAGATGGCAGCTGGCCTTTTACAGCCAAATGCACAAAGAGTATTTAGGCCTCACAATACAAGAACTGGAAAATCAAATCCTCGTTTGAGCTATTTTACTGTGAAACCAATGTTATATGTGGATACCAAGCATTCCATGACACAGATATGGCCAGTTCTCCAGGCATCCCACACTGCATAGGTCCTCTGGCCCTCCCCCGCAATGCTGCAACTGGCTACTCTGGTATGCAGCCAAAACTTTTCTGATCTCTTTCCCACTTTCTTTTCTTTAGTTGTTATTTGTTATGAATGAGCTTCCTTGCACAGCTTGTTCAGTAAAAGCTGTCTTTCTAACAACCAGACATATCTTCACTTCCCACCCAATTAAGATCTGTCATCATGGCCCCTAGCCCATGAAAAGCAAAAAAAACCAGTTCCAAGCACTGCCTACTCTTGGGCATCCAAGTCAGGCAAGCAGACTGCAGAGATTGGTTAGGTGCAGGCTGCTGAACTTTACTGAATTCATGTTTAGAGGGAAAGGAAAGCAGAAAAGTAAATATGACCCCCATTCTTTAGGACACCCAAAACTTGGGTAAAAGCACTCCCTCCCACACCCACCCCTAAAAGGTGACCATTCTACATGGAATGCTAGGGCACTGTACATGTGGGCGCTTCTGACCTGTGATAACTGTAAACCAGTTTTCCATCAGTGACACTTTGGAACAGTTGAATTGTTACAATTTTCACACCCTGACCGATGATGAATTGTTCCCTATCAGTGGCATTTTAGAAAGGTCACGTGTTATGTGTATCCACACCCTCAGCTGAATTCTTATTTTCCCCATATAGGTTCCCAAACTCCCCTAAAAGCAAGCATTCCCAAAACCTATGATAATGAGTATCTACAGGTTTCAAAGAATGTAAAATAATGTAAGGATGGGGGTAGGATTAACTGGATTAACTGTCATAAAAGACCATTTACAAACAAAAAAAGGAAGTCAAGAACTGAATTTAAACAGATACCTAATTGTCTTCCCTGGGTCTGCTTCTATAATCCAAGTGCAATGCAGATTGTTGTCATAAGGTGCAGGGTAACCTGGAGACAAAATGCGCCCTGATGTAGCAGCATGAATTCGGCCACCACACTCGGCTGCAAAATAAACAATAATTTGATTTATTAAAAACAAATCCATGATATTTTGTGTTTCAGTTATGTTCCTGTATGTTTCACCCCCGCCCTCTCTCTCTCACACACCCCCCCAAAGGAAAAACTGTCTTAGTATATCCTTTACCAGAAAAAAGGAAATTCCTGTGATATCTCATGAGAAAGCTTCATATACTACTCCCCTTTAGGCAGGTAAGCAGGTATCAATATAAGTAGCCATGTAAAAGTAGCTAAATTTGTCCTTTTGAGCTGCTCAAAAGGATCTGCTTTGGCCACTTATCTCTATTGAGAGTCTGTTTCATCCAGGAAGGCACATAAACTCAGTGCTAACCTCCCAACTGTTAGTTCACAGGAGAAAGCATGACTAGTAGTAATTTCAAAGGAAGAGGATGTTGCCACCTTTCATTCCAAAAGTCCAGTGGTTAGGCACTTGCTTAGCACTAGGAGATCTAGGTTCTGCACCCTCTTCATATAGAGGGGGTTAGAACCTAAATTTCACACTTCCCCCTAAAAATGCCCTAACCAGCAGGCATGAATTGGACACTGTAAAGAATACCCTCCATGTCTACTCTTGAAGCTGGTATGTTGGGCAATACAAAATGGAAAGATATGGGGTGAGGAGCCAGGGGAAGAAGAAGAGTGGTTTAGTGAGTTGAAACATGTCTGGGAAGGGGTCCTGAGTTCTGGACCCCATCCCCATGAAGTAGAAGCTATCCCATTGCTGTCTATCCATGATACCCAATGAACAAAAATGCAATTCAAATACAGAAAAATGGTGAAGTTGGGGCATGGGCAGGAAGTTGGGGCAGGAGCAGGAACCAGATCACAATGCACCCTCCTTCCCACACTACTGCCGAGCTCATTTAGCCACTCTCCTCCAGCAAAGAGTTAGAAAAAGTTGCCAAGTGGATATTTTTGTTGAGAAATTTCAGTTCAGGCAAAGGATTTACACATGAAACCTGAGCAAGCTAGGGAATACAGGGCAACAAGGAAATATATGTGAGATTCCTTCATGGTGAAGAAATAGTTTATCTATTATTTGGCTTATTTGCAATTTGCAAGCTCTGCTTGGGGCTAAGCATTGTGACTGGGTGAGAGTGAGGGTGAGACTCACCTTTGATCACAGCCGGTAGACAGTTAATTGTCCACCCTTAACAAGTAAAATAAAAGTTTAAATGCTGGCTGTGTGTGGCACTATGGTGGCAGTGGCACTGGAGTTGCTATTGCCAACCTAGTTTGGGGGGCAGTTTGGGGGTGCTAAGCCCCGTCAGTCCCAGACTTCCGTCACCTATGAACCCTGGCCCCATGTTGTCATGGCACCACTGCTACTTGGGTCTCCATGGAAACCAGTTGCAGTGATGCTGGCAGGGGCTTTGGGAAATGGAGTCCGCTGTGGTCCCGATGAAGCCCACAGTCCGGACTTTGCATCCCCCTGATTTAAGGTCTAGAAAGTTCTAATTCAGAGACTGTATCCCTAACTCCCATGCTCAAGAGCTATTGATGTCCCTTTCTTCCAAGAATTTGTCCAATCCCATTTTGAATCTGGCTAAACTTCCAACTCCCCCAATGTTTGGTGGCAATGAGTTCCACATTTTAATTACATGCTGTGTGAAAAAAGAACTTCCTTTTGTTAGTTTTAAATTACTACCTACTAGTTTCATTTTATGACCCCCAGTTCTTGTATTGTGAGAGAAAGTACATGATAAATACCTATTTGTTTCTTTTCACCATTTAGTATTTTGTAAACTCTTACCATGTTCCTCAAGTGTCTCTTTTCTAATAACCTAGCCTCTTTAGTTTCTCCTCAAATGGAAGCCTCTCCACCACTTTGTTGTCCTTCTATGTACCTCTTATAGCCTTTCTATATCCTTTTTTGTTATGTTCAGATCAGGACTAGGCAGTGTTCAAGGTGTGGGTGCACCATAGATTTAGAAAAGGGCATGATGATAATTTCTATTTTGTTTACAATTTCCTTCTAAACAATTTGAAAGAAACCTTTCCCCTGCCTTTTTATTGTGTCTGCAACTCTGCCATTAAACCATGCTGGCTTTGTTTTGGTATGCTTTCCATTTAAAAAAAAATATTTTGATTTACGGTATGCATTTGTTTTGTACCTTCAATATGGTGTTTTTATGTAATTCCGATGCTGCCTGCAAGTTCCTCACCCATAAACAGAAAGCAGGGGAATTTGTAAAATGGAGTTTGGACAGTTTTTACCCATTATTTATTACAGCTGGGATACAAAAGAGGACAATGATGACTACTGAGGCAGCATTTGACTTAATCTGGGGAAGAGATGACACAATGAAGGTGACTGGTGGCTGTGCCTTAAGGAAATGATCCTTCAGGCACAAAGCGAGACGATCCTGATGTGAGGAAAAAGAGGGAAAGGGGCCAGAAGGCTTCCTTGGCTGACCAGAGAAATCCAGGGCAGCCTAAGGGCCAAAAGGGGAGCACATAAAAAGTGGAAACAGGGAGAGATCACCAAAGACAAATATACCTCCTCTGCTCGCGCTTGTAGGGAGGCAGTTAGATGGGCCAAAGCTACCATGGAGCTGAGGATGGCATCCCAAGTAAAGGACAACAAGAAATTGTTTTTTAGCTATATAGGGAGTAAAAGGAAGATCCAGGGAGGAATAGGACCCCTACTAAATGGGCAGAAACAATTGGTGACAGACAGGGGGGACAAGGCTGAACTCCTCAATGAGTTCTTTGCCTCAGTGTTCCTAAGCGAGGGGCACGACAAGTCTCTCACTGGGGTTGTAGAGAGGCAGCAGCAAGGCGCCAGACTTCCATGCATAGACCCTGAGATGGTGCAGAGTCACTTGGAAGAACTGGATGCCTTTAAGTCGGCAAGCCCGGATGAGCTCCATCCGAGGGTGCTGAAGGCACTGGCCGACATCATTGCACAGTCACTGGCGGGAATATTTGAATGCTCGTGGCGCACGGGCCAAGTCCTGGAGGACTGGAAAAGGGCCAATGTGGTCCCCATTTTCAAGAAGGGAAGGAAGGAGGACCCGGGCAACTATAGGCCAGTCAGTCTCACCTCCATCCTTGGCAAAGTCTTTGAAAAAATTATCAAGGCTCACATTTGTGAGAGCTCGGCAGGACTAATTATGCTGAGGGGAAACCAGCATGGGTTCATAGCAGGCAGATC